CACCCAAACCCTGACTCACAAAGTGCTCAATCCCCCTGGCTTTAGCACAGCTGGGTCTGGGAGTGGTGCCCCACAGCTGGGCCTGCTAGCAGTGACTGGTGGTTAGGTTTATCCTGGGTCTGGGTAGAGGATGATCAGCACCAAAATGCAGATTTTGATAGTAAGCACTGCTGAGACTGTGTTGTCACAGCACCAAGCAATGTTGCCAGCTGTGCGGCAGCACATTTTATATCAAAATCGCAGTGTTCTGCTGCCCTGCTCCTGGGTGACCGTGGGAGGGAGTGCACTTCTCAGAGGTGCAATGAAGACATGCCCTTTCCCAAAAAATGCCCTCTCTCCCTCATGCAGCTCCCTCCTCTCCCTATACCCCTTCCACACACTGCACACAGCCCTCAGCCTTGGCTGCAAGGATCACACCGGGCACCACGTGGGAATCACCCACGCCACCCCCAGCAGTTTTGCATCTGTCACTCTGAACCCCATTTCAGCTTCAATTCTTTCTTCCCCATTGGCTTCAACTCTGTTGGCTCTACTTGGATTTCTAGGTGCCAAGAACAGTGCATAGAAGCATGGGAAACCATCAAAACACAAGGAGAATCACCTGTTTGTAGTAGGGTGGTGGGGTAAACGGCCTTTGTAATTCATCGAATCGTAGAGAAGATGGGCTGGAATGGACCTCCGTAAGTCATCTAGTCCAACCCCTTGCCTGGGGCAAGATCTTCCCTATCCAAACCATCCTATCTTAGCAAAATTAAAGTCCACCCTGACACAATGCAAGACACAACGCCCTAACCTGTCACAGGTGAAGTGGGGAGACCGCAGTGGCCAGCATCCTGCTTCTGCAAAGGTTGTGAATGTATGCTCAAGAGATCCCAGGAAGAAGGATTCACTTGTCTTCCCTCCTAATAATTCCAGTACCAACAAAGCCACCGAATCAGCACGAGTGTCTGTAGGGCCACCAGGTTTCCCTGTGTTTCCACATTAACAATATAGCTTTGTTTCCATGTTGGTGGTTCTTTATGCAGAGTATAGTCAACTTTAGGCTGCTTTATAGGAGTACATTAGGATAAGCTAGGCCAAGTACTGTGAAGCAGTTAGCTTAAACTTAGCTTAAACTCAAAATAGAGTTTAAGAAGCTAGTAGTAGGCAAAGCAACATTATGGGTGAGAGATGTCTAGCTAGGACTGGGATAAAAGTGAGACAAGATACAAGAACAGCAGAGTGAAAGGAGGTGAGTTTGGCCTGACCTGGATGTATCCAGTCTAACTGCAAAATAATAGAATAGGAAATAGAAGAATCTCTTCCAATACTGGCATTAAGGCCACTTCATATTATCAGCTGACTACTCAAAAGCCCACTTTGTCCTTGGCTGGCTCTCCTCTTATACTGAAATCCTGTTCTGACAGAAGAACTCATCTCTAGATGGTGGATGCTGCTGTTTTCAGGACATAGTCTCTGAAACTTGGGTAAAGTAGGTTGCCCTAAAAGATTGGCCCCCTGCTAGTGATTTTAAAACCTTTTAGAGTGTAGTAAATTTGACAGATGAAGATAACTTTCAGGAATTGTAATCTTTTTATCTTTTTGGTTTATAACTTTCTCAACCTTTTCTAAGCTTTCAGGTTTCAACTATGTTATCATGTACAGTGAGTATAGCCATCTTTTTTTTTCCAGGACATCTTTTTAAAGGACATTTGACTGGCAGTAAGTAGAGTAATAAGAGTTTAACAAGGTCTGTATTTACTTTCTGAACTTATGAATTAAGAGCTTTATTAGATATTTCAGAAAATCATTCTTTTAGACTACTTAATTTGATTGAAACAGGTCTTTTGGACTAACTTTGGTCCCTCGGACCATATCTGGGGTCAACATTTATTTCCCATAATTTATTCTAAAATTAGTAGTTGTGTAGTTCCTGCTTGTTTTCTGATTCCTAGGATTACAGATTTTTGCACCCTAGGCTGTGCAGTGGGTGACAGAAAGTGCATGAGCCAGGAATATTATACCACCCATGATGCCCCAAGGCTGTGCAGAGGGTGCCAGGAAGTGCAGGAAATTATAACACTATATCTCCTGTGATGTCCTTGGGTGTACAGTGGTTGAAGGGAGTGAAGGTGCTGGCATAGTATTTATCTGAATGGCTGATGCAGGTGGGACCAGCAGCTCCTACCAAAGAGAAAGGGTTCATCACTACTCCATGTGGTGCCTGGGGACTGACAGATGGAAGGGACAGACAGAGAAATGGACAAGAATATGGATGTGGGGCAGGAGCAAGGGCTAAAAGGACATCTGCAACACAGGCTCCAGGAGATGTATGGAAAGACGAGAGGTAGGCATGAAAGGAGTTAGCCCAATCCATCAGTGTACACCGATGATGGGAATGTACCTTGTTTCTCCTCCTCAGGATACTCCTTGTGAAGAAAGCACCCTGCATTGAATGAACATTGACCCCCAAGTAACAAAAAGTGCCTTCCCAAGACCTGTCTTTCCATGCAGACTTCTTGTGTGCCCCCTTCCTCCTTTTCCATGAAGTTTGTCCTCTCTTGGAAGACTGCATGCTTTCCTTTCCTGAAGAAACAATTTCTTCTTGAAGGCCATTGCTCCTTAGACACTTATAATGTCCTTCAACCCATGAGAATAGTCTCCCCACCCTCTCTCCTTTGAACATCAACACCAAATCTTGCACAACCCCTAAGCTCAAATCCCAGCCCCACTGCTAGTGCCACGTGCAAGGAAATGCTGATGTTTCCAACCTCCCTGTAGTTAAGCATGTTGGTTGACCTTTTTAGATAAATGGTTGCTGGCAAAAAGAAGGGACTTGATCCAGTGTCTTAGGAGCCCCCTCGCTTCCCACATTCCAAAAACTGCACAACATATTATGAAGTAGAGAGTCAGTGATGCAAACCAAAATTATTTGTGACTAAACTCCTGCAACTTGCCAGTTATCTTACCCTCAGTCTTTCTCTTGTATTTGCAAATCTGTATTGACACAGTCTATAGATCCATCCACTCTTCCCCTAAGCCACTATCAGATGCAGGCAGAGTGTGTTCACCCCTTATAAATCTGACCTGCTTGACGTTGGTCTGTAGGGTCTTGTATGGAGCTGAGCTGACTTGGGCTGAAACAACAGAGCAGGGGATTGTGTAGTTGAGGTGCCCATGACAGCCTCCTGGTAGAGCACCCAAGCTGAAATTCTAGAAATCAGCTCTACTGGGAACTCCCCTTGCACCTTTAATGGGAGCAAGATGGATCTGAAAGAAAAAGGAAGCCCCACAAATTGTTTTTCACTAAAACAGATCAAGCAGAGAGTGGGAGACGCTTAATGGCCATTGGGCTAATTCTACTGCACATTAGTGTGGCTGGCAAAAAACGTGCTAATGTGCAGTAGATTAGTACCATGAGCATTAAGCATCACACAAAAAGTGTTCATCTGCGATGAGTTTTAGTACCTAGTACGAAACTTAACGTGCTGTAATTACGGCACATTAAGGAACGTGTACATGCACCCAGTTTCTTTTACCTACTATGAACGTCGATGTTGTGGTAATAAATTTAACCCGGCTCCTAACTTGACTAAGAAAACAGACAGAGACCAGAAGTGCTGATACTGTTTATTTCAGTTAAATGTTCTGAGATAGGGAATCCTGCATGCCTTGTTTTGTCTTGATATATTACCCTGTGTACGGATGTTAAGTTTATTTTTCTCTCTGAGAAACCAGAAACTGATAACTTTTTCTATAAGCACAATGTTTCACTCTTCTTTAAGTAAACTGCCTGTAAGTCTGTGTGTGTTAGATCAGTGATTTACTGTCCAAGGTCGTATTTTTTTCTCTCGCCGTCTTAAGTATAAATATGCTTGTAAACTTATAGAGTCCAAGAAATCCTTTGAAACAAACAAGTGGGCGATTCCCCTCGTTGTATGGGATTTTCTCTGTGATCACAGTATAGCCCTAAATGAAGAAACGCTGGCTCTGTCAGTTCTGATTCAACCACAGTGCGAAGTTTGATTTCTTCCACAATGTTGAGGAGGAGGAAGAGGAAAAGAAAGGTCTCTTCCGAGAAGCTTTGTCTCAGTAAGAGAGAGGATGCCAGTCTTATGAATCACCTTGTCAGGGGCTAAATAAATAGCTTAGTTTCTGTGGGTGTGGAAAAACTAGTAGCTGTCCCTGATGTCTAATCTGAATGTGTCATGGAATAAAACATAACGCACGTATCCTGATCTCCGGAGATGTCCTGGCCTTGCTAAATGGAGCCTTTTCTCTGGCCATTTCTCAGGTTGTTGTTGACTTGTGCTGGGTTTTGCAACCCTGGGAATTCAAACACCGGGCATACGAGGCCCTTGCGGCATCTCAAGGCGGCTTTTCGTTGGCCGGCTGTGTTTCCTGGAGAAATCCAAATTCACCTCAACCGATCCTTTCTCGGAAAAATCCACTCCGCCACCCGCTAAAACCATCGGATTTTGCGTCTGGCTGTCAGTTTTGCGTTTCCTGTGCGTTTTGCATCGGTTTCCCTTCAAACACCCTCTCTGGGAGGTGGTGACCCCCAGCCTCCCGCCAAAACTGAGCTTGTGAGAAACGAGGCACTTTTCCTCTGCTGCCTGTTCTGGGGTCAGCCCTCCAGGACATGGAAGAGAAACAATGGGGTTTTTTGGAGTGGGGGCGGTATCTTTTATTGGAGGAACAAAAGAAAAAATGTTGGGGGGTGTATTTTGGATCGGAGTGACTGCGTATCCGACTGAGACGTGGGACCAGCTCCTGGCAAGTGCGAGGATGGGGCAGTTCCAGCCTGAGCCCAAGCGGACTCCTGGGAGAGACAGGGGGACTACAACTCCCGTGAGGCCCCGGGCTCCCAGGATGCCGCGGGGCCGGAAGCAGGGAGGGCGGCTGCGCGTGGCCGGCTTTTCCCGTCCGGCTCTGCGGAAGTGGGGGAACACTACGCTTCCCAGCCTGCCCTTCGCGCGCCGCGTGACCGGAAGCGGACGCAGGCGCGGGCGGCTGCGGCCTGTTAGGGCGGGCGCCGCCATGGGCCGAGCGGGGCGTGTTTGGCCGCGGGCGCGGGCCAGGATGGGAGCGGCCTGCAGAGGAGGCGGAGGCAGAGGCGGAGCGCGGAGGTGGCGCGAGGTAGGAGGCAGCCGCGTCCCAGGGCCCTCGCGGTGGGCGCGGTGTACGGGACCCCGGCCTGAGGGGGGAGGGAAGAGGGGGAGGGGCAGCAGTGACGTCTGGCTGCTTTTGATGTGGGACAGACCGGCTTAAAAATACTTCCTGCGGCTTCCTCCTTCCCGGCCAGCTGGGCTGCCCCGTCCCTGGAGACAAGCGCTGGTGGGAAGTTTCTGGGCGGGCGGGGGTCGCTGTCTTTGCCAGCCGCCTTGGACAGGATGCAGACAGCCCCGCCTGGATGCCCGCAAGCACACAGGCCAGGTCGGGGACGTGGCACGGGTTTGCCGCCAGACAGACATCGCCTCTTAGCAGCTCCCTCTCATCTTGCCAGTGGCGCAGACCCCGGGGGTGAAGGCTGGTGAGGTAAAAACGTGCTCCTGAAGAGAGACTTCTGTGGGTGACTTGTGGGGACGGGGAGGGAGAAGGGGCTGCTGTCTGCATGATGCTTCTCCTCATCCAGTTTCATAGATTTCATAGACTATAGATTTCATAGACATTAGGGCTGGAAGGGACCTCTGGAGATCATTGAGTCCAGCCCCCTTGCCCCAGGGGCACGAAGTCAGCTGGGGTCAAAGGATCCCAATGAGATAAACATCCAAATGTTTCTTAAAGGAGCCCAGAGTAGGTGCTTGCACCACCTCCGTGTTGTGGGGGGAGTCTATTCCAGACCTCAGGGGCTCAGACAGTAAAGAAGTCTTTCCTTGTGTCCAGCCTGAAATGATCGTGGAGGAGTTTGTGACCGTTAGTTCTTGTCATCCCTTGGGGTGCTCTGGTGAGCAGGCATTCCCCCAGATCCTGGTGTACACCTGTGATGTACTTATAGACAGCCATTAAGTATCCCCTGAGCCTGCGCTTTTCTAGGCTGAAGAATCCCATGGCTCTCGGCCTCTCCTGTTTTCTTGCCCTCTGACCATGTGTTGGTGTTTCTCTCAGGGGGGTGCACCGCCAATCTCAGGGGGTGCGTGTCCTCCTGCGTGCACCCCCTACGCGTTGCCATTGCCCGAGACAAATGGTCTAAAAAGCCACTTCTAACGGCAGCTTGCACTTGGTGTGTAGTCAGATTTAGCTTTACTAGACAATGGTAAGGGTTGTGGAACAAATGACAAAGCTGTAAGGGAAATGCAGAGTGCCTGAGCGAGGGACTAGCATGAGATGGATGGGGGTGAGGCAGGGAGTCCAGCAAGGTTACGTAATTATAGTGCTGGCCCTCTAAGCCCAGGGTTGGGGGAAGGGGAGGGAGGGGGTTGCGATACTGAGAGAGAAAGAGGATGGATGCAAACAGACCTGTACAAAAGTCCTCAATGGTAGAGGGTGCAAGTTACGCAAAGAAGTTACTAAGTCCATACTTGATTGAAGCTGAGACCTGGCCTGCCTCTCTGCCAGGTTTGAAAATGCTCCGCTCAGGCTGTAGTTATCTTGATCTCTGCTTTACAGAGCTGGGAGCAGAGGTGCAGAGACAGGGAGAAGCAACTTGGCCTGATGATACTCTGCAGGGTAGCTGTGGAGATGGAAAGAGAACCCAGAGGTCCTGCTCTGCCTGCTAACCTGCATTGCCTTTCAAAATGACTGCCAGCTGAAGTTGTAGCTAATTTTCTTTTCTCTGCTGCACCACAGTGAGTCCTGAGACCACTGCCTGAAAAGGTTATAGAAATACCTTTCATATGACCCATCTCTGCATCCGGCAACACTTTGTATCTGGAACTGTTTTCATTTCTCTTCATTGTGCCCCCTCCTCTCTTTACGTGCCTCCTGGGGACAGATTTGATCTGTCAGACATGTGTTGTCAATGTATGTCTATTGGCAGAGTACCCAAAACTAGTTACATTATAATTTACTAGATTTCAGAGTGCTCCACCTTCAGCAATCATAGGATTTCTATGTTAAAGAGAAATTCAGTATGAAAACTAAAAGATTAAGCATTTGGGTCCTCACTGGTGTAATTCAGGCTGTGGGACCCCTCTAAATCCAGCAGGCATTTGCTTCTTGCAGTTACCGCTCCAGCGGAGGAGAGTGAGTCGGGTGACCCTACTAAGTAAACAGGGCTCACTGGGAAGGAGCAGGATCAGATTGCCTAGCAGCTGTATGATTCAGCATGTTCCCTAGAGTGTCCTTTGAACCCATAAACTTGCTAGTCCTGTAATTTAAATAAACAAAATATGAATTAGGGAGATACTCCATTTCAGAGTGGTCTTGTCAGTTCTCAGGAATTGAGTTGGTATCAGCTGGGTCAACAGCTGAAGGGAAAAAACCACAGAAACTGCAAGTATTCCAGATAAAGGGTATTGATAATTGAACTGGGGATTTCTTTCCCTCTGTCTGTTTAAAAAAAAAAAAAAAAAGTGTAAAATTTATAAGGATATTAGTGCTGTGCTATTGGCCAGAGTTAGTGCAAATTATCTATACTCTACTAATCTTTCCCTGTAACATTACCTTGATACAAGATTCCTCTTAGACAGCACCTGTCCTGAATCCCAAAAGTGGTTTGTGTTTTGTTTGGTCAAGTGGTTCCCATTTACTACAGATAGGCTGAAAAGTGTTTTAGTAACTTGTAAAATGCTTTGGGGAATCCTCTTGGATTAAAGATGGTGAATAAGTGTGATATTATATAACTTACTGGTCATGTGAGTACTATGCATATATTCAGTGTTTAATTGCCTATCTGCATAGGTGCTTGGACTCCTAAGGTGCTTGGCTAGTTTCCAGCTAATAAAAAAATATGGAGCTGGAGAGGATGAACCCAAGTCCTGGAGATGAAGACCAAAAAGAAGAAAAAGATGAAAGAAACTGTCGAGCCTGCATTAAATGTGATAGAATCCATAAAACCATTTCCAAATGGATGCTTCCTGAGAATGCCAGAGCCACCTACTTGGAAAGAGCAAACTGTATCCCTCCTCCCTTGTTCATCATCTCTATTAGCATTGCAGAGGTAGGACTCCTTTATCTGGTAATATTTAAAGTGTCTCCCCTTGTTTTTCATCTAGCACTTAATTTAGTTGAAGTAATGGAATTAGAATTTACTACCAGTGAGTTCATTTTAGCAAGGCAAGTTTTTTCTTTTATCTTCTCAACTTTTGAAATTTGCATCTGACTAACAAAATGTAGAACTTGGTTGCCCATTACTTGCTGGTAATATTTATTGTATCTTCTCAGCCATTGCCCATACAAAGTTGTGTATCATTTTAACATCCTTTTTTTCATTTTCTTGCTGGTGAAGCAAACTTTGAACTGTCAGACTGAAATTTTCCATGTGTTACCTCTGTATCAAGGAAATATGGAGGAGACTGGTTATAATGTCAAAAGGTGGAAGAAATTAATAAATGCTTCTTTCTTGCAGCTGGCTGTTTTCATTTATTACGCTGTTTGGAAGCCTCAGAAACAATGGATCACTCTGGATGAAGGGATCTTGAACAGTCCTTTTATTTATAAACCTAAGAAAAGGGAAGAAGCTTGGAGATTCATTTCTTACATGCTAGTGCATGCAGGGTAAGCAACATTACTGTGTACTCTTGTCTATTTTGCAGATTCAAAACGCAAAGGATTTTGGGTCTGCTACCCTGGGTTTCCCTTAAACATATCAACTGACATAAACAGCTGTATTTAATTAGGAAATGGGTATTGGGGAAAAGTGGAAAAGATCTTGCCAGTTAATCAGATCTTGGAAGATGTATTTTTAAAGGCTACATGGATGTGTCTTCCAGGTGATGCTCCCAAGAGCCTGTGGTTTCTGGCACCATACTGGGGTTCATAATGATACAAGAGTGCTACCTACTGAACTACCATCCCACTTTCCATCATAGTAGGGTGTTTTTTTATTTTATCTTATTTTTTAAGTTCTGACCTAACCCAAATCCACTTTATCACGTGTGACCACCAGGCTCAAAAGTAGATTAGATAGAAGTAGGATTACTATCACCATGCTGTATGTTAATCCTACCTCTTCTGTGAGACCTGGTCTGCATAATATGGCCCAATTCTACCTTTCATGCTGGGTGCCTTGGTTTGAACTCAGAGGCCAGTTCAGGCCTTTTGGCTGCAAATGCATAGTGTAGATTCACCTTCTAAAAAGGAGGGCTTCTGCATTGTGAGTCAGGAGATTTACAGGACTTCTAAAAGCATTAGACCTGTAGTTTGAGACTCTCATGTTTTTTTCTTTTCAGTGTTGAACACATTTTAGGAAATCTTGTCCTGCAACTTATTTTTGGGATCCCATTGGAAATGGTTCACAAAGGGCATCGTGTTGGGCTGGTTTATCTTGCTGGAGTAATTGGAGGTCAGTGTGCCATGGGAAATGGGCTAACTGGTATTTTAATACTGTCTGTATCAAAAAACAAACTTGCTGTTTTCCGGGTGGGAATATCTAAGTTCTAGTTAACGGTCCCATGTAAGTTAAATTGACCTGATGAACACTTACTGTATGTTGATTTACTAGAAAATTGATCCAGTTGCTCACTTGATTCCAGCTGGATATTTCCTTCACCCTTGCGGTTATTTTTCCTTATGGCTTAACACACTCTTCATTCACACAGAAATAGAAACTCCTACAAAGTACTAGAGGACAGCATTTGTATTTCTGACATCTTTTAAAACAGGCTAATGAATACTTTGAGAACAGTGAACTACTTACGCTGTTCCATTGGCTAGATTCTACTGTTTATGGACTCAAGAAAATGTAGGCACAGAGAGTGCTTTTGTGAAAGTGCGTGTTGAAGATAGCAACAATACTCAACTGTCAAGTGTTGTCTCTGACGAGAGCAGTCTATTCAAAATGAGGCAGCGCTGTTCCTTTGTAACTTGCAGTGTCTTGCTCTGCAAACAAGAAAACGGGTTGTGTATCATCACATTTGTTGATTTGGGGCCTCTTGCTCAAAAGGCCCATTGACAACTGGGGAGGCAGCGTGCCTGACCCTTTATGTTCACAAGCATGCCTTGCCCATCTGCTCCTGCTCGTATTTTCCAAACCTCGGAATTCACCAGGGAGGCTGCTTCTGAGTATCTGTTGTGGCTGTGCTTGCACAGACTGAGGATTGAGGCCTCAAAAGTGGCTGCAGAGAGGCACCCTCTGTGTTTTCACATATATTTATGACCGCATCCATAAATGGTCAGGCCAAGGGCATCCTTGTGGGAGCACATTACGGCCATAGTGTGGAAATACCTACAAGGATCTTTTCTGATGTTTATTCTGCTTTTTCCAAGTGGTTGAGAAGTAATCTTTGGCACAGTATTTTGGATAGATATGTGCTACCCACTGCTGCCAGGAAAAATGGGCAGTCAAGAGGCATGTCCTGGCCTCAAGAACTTGAGTTTGTCCTGGTAGTTGTGAGTGCAGTTTGTCTGTTCTGTTAGTGCAACAGCATAGCCTGAATATTGCCTGTCACTACACAGTTAAATCTAGTCTGAAACTGAACCCACTGACTGCATAAGTGACTGCTACATCATTGGATTTAAGTGGAGATGTATTCACTTCGACAGCTATGAATTTTAGATTTCTTTTCAATCAAATCTTGGATTCTGTCCTAGGTTTCGTGAAGAGGGGGAAGAGGAGAGTGCCGAAGGAGGCTTCAAAAAAAGAAAAAGGAATTTTTAATTCTGCTTATCTTCACTGCTGTCTTACATATTTGATTTACCTGACTATACATATTACAGATGTCTAACTCCAAAAACCCTTCTTTAAATGTTATTGGTAGAGTTCAGTTGCTGAAATATGAAAAAATTCTTGTTCTAGTGTAGAAGTAGGACACCAATATTTTGAGATTTTTATAGAAATATAGAATCATAGAAAGGTAGGTTTGAAAGGGACTTTAAGAGGTCACATCTAGTCCAGCCCTCTGCTCAGGCAGCATCATCCTTGACTAAACCATGCCAGACACGTATTTGTCTAACCTTGGAAATTTTCAAAGGATGGAGACTCCACAACCTCTGGTCAGCCTGTTCCAACCACCCTCCTAGTGAGGAAGTTCTTCCTAATATCCAATCTAAATTTCTCCTGCAGCAATTTGAGACTATTGCTCTTTGTCTTGTCTTGTCTCCTGTGGGTACAGAGAATCATTTATTTTCATTTTCTATATAACCAGTCTTCAAATACCTGAAGGGTAGTATAAATTTCCCACTCCAATCTGCTCTTTAAATTGCATAATCCCAGTTCATTTAGACTTTCCTCAAGTCATGTTCCCAACGCCTCCGATTTTTGTCTCTCTGCTGGACCCTCATTTGTCCACACCTTTCTTGAAGCATCCCAAAACCAGATCATAGTTGTTGCAACAATTCAAGTCCTTGTATTAAAATGGGAAAAGAATAAAGTTCAGAATTCAGTCATGAAACTGAAGCTTCCACTGGGAAATATCACCAGAGCTGTGAAGTTGCAAATAAAATGCACTTCTAAATAGTTAAAAAAATCCCTAGTGTATAGGGATCAAAACCTGTAGTCTTTAGCAGAATATGACTTCAATTGCAACAGCAGGGTTCTGCCTTAGGACTTTAAGATTTTGAGCTGTTCCTTAGTGGACTTTTGTAGATAACTCTTAGAATCCCTCAGTTTGTCTGGTTAGTGAACATTAAGGCAAGGAGACCCTGACAGAAATGGAATCTATAACTTGTTGCTAGGGTATCTTCTCTTTTGAGAGGTGTTACAGCTCATGGTGGTGTCCTTGCCATTTTTCCTGATCTGGCTCATCTCATTTGGTAAGCATTTTGGCCTTGTCTGCATTGGCTCCCCTAACATGGAAGTTGTACTAGTAGCGAGTTACAAATCCTATTTTTGGGTTAGTGTAGTTACAGCCTTAGCTTTTTGTTCATGTTGCTTTTGTTACTATCTAGTACCTTTTAAAATACTTGTCTGTTGTGATTTTTAGCTTTCAGTATGGCTGACTGTGATCCTATCCCATCAAAGTTGGCACAAGGATCCGAATTCTAAAGATGGTTCTATCTTTTCAGGTTCCTTGGCCAGCTCAGTCTTTGATCCCATGCAGGCTCTGGTGGGGGCTTCAGGAGGAGTCTATGCCCTGATGGGAGGCTACTTTATGAACATATTAGTGGTAAGGACATGACCAATAATGCACAAAAAATATCCATACTTTCTAGTACTTAGGCTTTTTTGTTTTAAAAGATTAAATGTTGATCCCCAAAGAAGACTAATTGAGGGAGAACTGCCACAGAGGTACAGTCTGATTTGAATGTGGTGATCTGGGTGTGACCTTGCAGAATCGAAACTTTATAGATATTTTCCTTTATCAGCAAAGAAAATTAAGGCTAGAGACAGACCTAACATTAGGAGTATTTCAGAAATGGTTAGCTGCCAGACAGATATCCAGCACTTGGATAAGGATATTTTTAGTAACTCTTCACTGATTTGTATGGAAGGACACTGTTGCTTTTTTTTTTTTTTTTACAGCAAAAGTGAAAGAAGAGAACAACCATGGCCTATTGGATTAAGTTCTAAATTTGTTTGAACTCAGGCATAGCTGTTTCCCTCTGGTTCAAATTCTCCAGCTATAAAATGAGAATTGTTGTTATATTAGTGTTTGAAAGATGTTGTAGGAATGTGGAAGTGTCTTACTGCCTTTAGATATATTGTTGTGCACAGTTTTGTGTCTGTCTCGTTCAATGGATTAATCTTTTTCCCCCCCCTTCAAGAACTTCAGAGAAATGATTCCTTTGTTTGGTGTCTTCAGATTGGTCTTCATCGTGTCTATAGGTAACGTTGATGTCATTAATTTGGTCTGTCAGGATAAAGATTGTATGTAATAAATACTCTTTTAAACTCATGCATAGACACATTCCCACCTGGAGCCCAAAATACCAACTGGTCAGGGACTTACTAATTCCCCTTGCATTTCGCTGGAGATCTGAATTCAATGCAAGTTTCTTCTGTTTTGGTTAAATTAAAGTATAAATAAATCTGAGTCTTAAACTGTTCTGTGGCTTTGGCACTTCTAAATATTAAATGTATGGTGCACAGATGTGCATGATACTTTACAAAATACTGATTTGAATAGCTTCCTTCTAGCAGGGCCAGCTTTGGCCAGGATTAGAATCTTGTGATAGACAGCAGTATTTATCCAATCTGCCTCTTTTAAGATGCTGAATTTCACTCAAAATTTGACTTTCAATTCTGAGTGAAGCAGACTCTAGTTTGTATATTAGTTTTCTTGGTACCACCCGAAAGACAGTTCTCTGTTTTAAACCCATTATTTTGGTTTTGCTCTAAAAAAGCTTGCCAAAACGAATAAACAATCCAAGACTCTGTTTTGTTTTCTTAGTTGGAACAGATATTGGATTTGCTCTCTACAGAAGATTTATAGCCCCTGTGAATGGACCACAAGTAAGTGCATTCTTAAGTAACATAACTTGGAATTATGCAAACCCTAGGAAAGCATACTTAGTGTTACAGCATTAACTACAGACTATCAATTATTGGAATTTAGTAGAAACAAAATAAATACTGCTAATTAAAACATTGGCATTTTGTTTTCCAGAAGAAACAAATAAGGGTCAAACAGTTATAAATTGCTGCAAGACTGTTTCATGTTGGACATAAGGAAGAATTTATTTACTGTCCAAGCCCCCAAGGTCTGGAATAGCCTGCCATCAGTGTAGGTGCTTGAACCACCTCCAAACACCTTCAAGAGTAAATTGGATGCTTATCTTGCTGGGATCCTATGACCCCAGGATGTTGACCCCAGCTGAAGGTCCTGCCCTTTGGGCGGGGGGGGGGGCTGGACTCGATCTTCCAAGGTCCCTTCCAGCTCTAATGTCTGTCTATGAAATCCTCTCTAAAGTCTATGAAATCTCTGAAAAACAAAGGTAAATTGGTTGAAGGTAAACTTGAGAAATTACAATTCCTCCATCCCACCAGAACTCTGTTTTCTTGGCTTTTGGATACCATCCATCAATTCCCAAGGAATCTAAAGAAATTGTTGGATGATGTGAAAGCCAGGAAAACTTGAGACATGAACATATCTAATTCAGTAGTTGTAACGCATCCGTTGCTTTGATTTCGTCCAACAAGAGCTTTGATTTGTAGCTGTGCTAATTGTCACAAGGGTGAGTTGAAAACCATAAGTAATTGGTATCATGTATCATATAAGATTGGTTATTTCTAGTTTGAATAGCTGTACTTCAGTTATGGATCATGAGTGAGTATAAATCAAAGATCTGAGGTCAGTAGGACTAGCACATTCTGCTAGAGATTCTTGTTTTAGATGGCAGATGGTCATGGCCCACACTGAGTGGCAATACACATCACACACTTGTAGTTAACATGATGTGTTTGCTCCAGGATGGATGTATCTCTTGGCAACACCATTAATTCCTTGAATTCATCTGCATTTAACATGCTTGTAAATGGGAAAGCTCTGCTTTGATTCATCAACATGGAAGGAATATTGCCAAACCAAACCTGCCTTTTGAACTGCATCTTAAAATGATCTGTTTTGGAATCTCTCCATCATAAATATTGATAAATGTCTCATCTTCTAAGAAGCAATCACATAATCTTGTTAGAGCCTGGTATCTGGTTGCAAAAACAGTAGGGGGAGCACAAGTTATTCTAACATTTTTGGCGCTTTCCCTTATTGTTGATATCAGTAACAAGGAAGTAAATATAGCAATATATACTTCTGTGGCCATCTAGATGATTGAAAGCGTGTGTTTAGGTGCTACATTTTTATTTCAGTTCTAGCTTGGCATGCTGTTTTTCCTGCCTATGTGTATTTTCATACTGTGCTCGTTACTTTGGTAGCTGAATGTTTTACATGTGCGACTATCCTGATCCTTGTGAATACTTTGGTTTAATATCTGCAGCCATACCACCTTTAACAGTGATCTTTTCTTAACTTGTGAGCTAAACAATGTTAAGCTTGTTCAGACTCTCAACTGAAATTCCTGGGTCCTGTGTTCATTGACTTCTGGAGAATTGTTGCACCCTTAGAATCACTGTGCAAGGAACATCCCAGCTTGAGACCAAAGAACCACTGTGCTCAGATACGCCATATTCTGAGTGAGGCATCAAGCTGATCAAAGATGATTGAAACGCTTTTAATAAGAATAGGAAGGTTAATAACAGTTTCCTAAGCGATGGAGTTCTTAACTGTAAACAACTTTATTTGTATCCCAAAACTCATGATTTGTATTTATAATGTAAAACATGATTGCAGCTGTCTCTTGATCCCTGCATCAACTGATATGTAATGTGTTTCTATTTTTCCTGTGAAGAAATACTACATTTAAGTACTTGGTGACCCCCAAGTGTCCTCCATGTGCCTTAGGGTAAAGTACTATTTATAAGATGTGTGTGCATTTGTAGGGTGAATACTGATCTGTCTCAGTCTTTAAAAGTAATTGAACAGTTTCTTTTTCTTTCCTTTTCCTCCCCAGGTGTCCTTTGTGGCTCATGTTGCAGGTGGCTTGGCTGGGATGTCCATAGGTTACATCATTTTCAGCTGCTTTGATAAGAGCTTTATAAAAGATCCGAGATTTTGGATTTCTATTGTTGCTTATTTGGTCTGTGTTGTGGCTGCTGTATTGTTTAACATCTTTCTTTCACCTGCAAACTAAACCAAACTAA